TCAGGTTTTTAATTTCTTTCTCTTTATATGCCTGGGCCAGATTTCAAGAAGAATTAATTTCTTAGGGACCAACAGTCTCCTTTCATTTTTACAATCTGGAATTTTTAGATAAGATTTCCTTGTGGCCATGTGTTACAATGGTTAACCTTCAAAATGTACAACCCAAATGATAGAAGTAATTTTATTCTACCATACATGGGGACAGTTACTTCAGCAGTAAAGTACCAGTGGGGCTGGGATAACTAACTGACTTGTCTGTTACAAGCATTTTTGCAGATTTCCAGTTTTTCAGTGCATAAGAATATAGCAGATGAATTTTCCCTGTAGTAACAGAAACAAGGAGGTTCTTTACATTGATGATGCTCTTCAATTGATGATGTTTAGTACTATTTCAACTTGTCATTAACTTAAAACATTTATTGCTAATGAAAACTGGCACAAAAAAACCAGTGGGTAAAAATGTGTTCTCAATACTAACAGTAATATTTTTCCTCACAACTGCTGCAGATTCCACTTTCCCTCTTCATCCCTAACACAGGCAAGGCTAAACCCTAGTGAAAGGACTTTTAAGTTCTACTAAAAATACGGATAGGCATACTCTTTCCTTGGGTCATCTCATAATGTTTTCAGAGAAGAATTCTTCCCATTCAACACAACTTACTTCTTCTTATTTAATATTGTTTTGTTGGTAATGCACATTTGGAGAAATAATTTCTACCACACGGTAGTCATTACTTAGTCTTTTCATTCTATTAGAAAATTATTCTGCCGCATTCAGTAGTAATTTTTTAAAAAAAGATTTATTTATGCATACTGAACTGGGATAGAGGCCAGAGGCTCAGGTGCGGTGAGAGGATTCACCAGAGACAGAGTGGGGAGCAGAACAGGCAGATGGACCAAGTATACTGCTAAGGGGAGCAGCAGGCCACTCAGAAGAGGTCTGCCACACCATGTGGATCACCTCCAGGGCAGGAGGGAATCGAACTCATGTGGAAGTGGCTTCAGCTTCTCAGTGCTGTGCTTTGACCCACTGAGCCACCAGGGAAGGCCAGTAATTTTTTTTTTTAAATTTTAATGTTAGACATGAAAATTCTAATATGAAAATATTTATATATTCTGTTTAATGTAGCATCATCCACAATAGCTATGTCATGGGACCAACTTAAGTGTCCAGTGACTGACAAATGGATATAGAAATTGAGGAAAATATATTCAACAGGATACTATTAATTAAAAAAAAGAGTTAGTGCATAGGGGACAAAATGGATGAATCTTGAGGTAATTATAGTAAGGGAAATAAATCAGAAGCTAAAGGAGATAATGAGTGGTTTTACTTATTTGTGGAATATAAATAACCAAAGAACACATAACAAAAACAATTTAGATTCTGTGAAAAATATGATGGCTACTGGAGGGAATGGTGAGGGAGAGAGGGTAGGGCAGAAAAAGGAAGAGGATAGGTCAGAGGAATGGGAGTGTTGGTAGGGGGTGAGTAAAGCTTGTATATAAAGGGAAGTAAGAATATGTAAGCCAAAGTTGTATAGATACGTAAATGTTCGACAAATTAAATAACAAAAATGTTACTATTATAGCAGTTGTAAGTCTACAAAAGTAATTGTCTTCTCAACTAAGGTCTTTTAAAATAGGTTTTAAAACCTATAAAAGATGTAATTACACTCTTCTAGAAACACAATGCAAATTAACAAAACAGTGACACTTTAAGTGATAAGAATAAAAAGACAAATCCATACACAACAGCAAATTTCTATTACTAAACATATCATCTGCTCTCCTATAACTCATTTTCAGCTTATCTGAAAAAGTATACTTAAATAAATACCACAGGGCACTATCTGGTGGCGCAGCGGGTTAAATCACAGCACTGAGAAGCTAAAGCCACTTCAGCATGAGTTTGATCCCCGCCTGCTCTGGAGGTGACCCAAATGGTGCGGCAGACCACTCCTGACCTGCCCGCTGCTCTCCTCAGCAGTGTACTTTGACATCTTCCTGTTCTGCTCCCCACTCTGTCTCTGGTGAATCCTCTCACCGCCCTGCACCTCTGTGCTGCAGGGCTCAGGTTTCAGCATCAGTCTAAAACTACTCCTTCATTTCTAAGATTTTCCTTATACTATCTCTTCATACATTCCTAAACCCACAGCAACCACTCATCTCTTCCCCATCACTGTAACACTGAAAATTTGTTGTTATATACATGATATCATACAGTATGTGGCTCTTTAAGACTTACTTTTTTCACTCAGCATAATGTCCCTAATATCCATCCATGTTGTGGCATGTGTCAATAGTTCATTCCTTTTCATTGTCAGTATAGTATTCCTTGTACACCACAGAAAGTTTCACTATTAACCTATTTCAGGACATGTGGTTGAGTGAAATTTAGGGTTATTACAACCAAAACTGGTACAAACATTCATGTACATGTTTCTGTGTGGACATGAACATGTGGTAATAAAGAGAACAGCAAATAAGATCTCTTGGGGGAGACAGCTGAGCGAAGAGGTCAGTTTTGTATTTTTTCTCCATCTATCTCCTCTCTCTGTCCTCTATCTCAAATAAAAGGTGGGCTTTATGAAGTCATCTTCAAGTAACTTCAACTTTCACACTGTGTAGATTCTGTTTTCTTTTACATTGTATAATGACTAACACCTTGAGACATTATCAAAATTTTGATAAATTACTAAAACATTGACAAATTGCTGCTGTACAAGGAAGAAAATATGTGTATCAAGAGAGCATAATTTTACAAAGTCAAATTGAGGCTACTGCTAATAATAAGACCTTTCCTTATCTGCTACTAGGTAAAGCAGTAACTTTAACAAGTCCTATTGAGTATTTTTAAATAAGAATAAACTTCTGCTTAAAGGTACAAGTTGCTGGAAACTGGACAACTGACTTCATTTGTTTGAGAACTGTACAAACTAGAAATTGTGTTAATGGCATGAGCAGAAGTTTGATTTCATTCCCTCTTCAAAAGGCATAGTAGACTAAGGATGTTCAGCTTAGATGGGGCCATAAAAAATTAAATAATATGTAAATGCAGGTGATCTTCTTCGATCTTCTTTAATTCTGTATTGCTCGTAGATTTGAGGTAATGACTTCATCACTAGACGCAATGGGAGAATCAATGTAGTCCTCAGGTCAAGTTCTGACCCATTCTAATTTGTTCCTTGAAAATATAAACTTATACATTATGTGTGGAAAGTAAATACAAGTTTGGTGTGTACGTGATGGAAATTAATGATTGAAAAAACTCACCATCTGTGGATTACAATGATCTTATTCATGGTTACTTAAACTTGCTGAGATGGATTTAAGTGAAATTAAGAATAGGATAAGAAAAAAAAAAGACTAGGATAAGAGTTTGTTAGAGTATCACAATAAAATTTCTGACAATATAGTTTGTTTTGGGCTCATTAATGAAACTGATTTAAGAGTACAGAATTAGATATAATTAAATGGGTAAAGAAAACTGTAACATTAAAAGCAAAGAAAGAAATCTGGTGACTTTCTATATATCATCTCACCAGTATAAGTAAACATTTAACACTTTAATTTCTGTGTGTTTCAAAAACTGCCTCCTTCAACTTTATTTTTAAAGATTTATTTATTTATGCACACAGGAACTAGGGTATAGGCCAGAGATGCAGGGGGTGAGAGGATTCACCACAGACAGAGTAGGGTCAGAACAGGGCAGAGCAAGCAAACAGACTAAAGTACACTGCTATAGGGAGCAGCAGGTGGGACAGGAGAGATATGCTGTGCCATGTGGGTCGCCTTTCTGGTTGGGGATCAAACTCCTGCTTTAGTGGCTATAGATTGCTCCCTCCCAAAAGGGAGGGCCCCATCTTAATTTTTTTAATGGGATTTATTGGACATTTTAAAAGGCTAAAAGCTGCTATACAGTGAATAGTGACAAGAACATGGAAATGTTCTAACTAGGTTTAATCACTAATTGAAGAATTTAAAAAATGGTGCTAAAACATTTTGTCAAAGTTAATGTTAGCATTTTATCAAAGTTAATATTAGGGAAGAGTCAGAAGAACATTTCTTTTATATACTATTTATTCTGGGTTATACTTGCCAAGTTGAATAATTTCTTGAAACAGAGATAATACGTTTCTTAGAATTATTAGTATTTACAAAAGGAATAGTATTTGAATGATTTTCACATTGCCTGTATTTCATAAGACTAAAGAAGTTTTAAACAATTGCACCTAATCACTACCAAGGCATAGTGACGCAAGCAAACAAAAGGTTATCCCTCAAAATTAAACTAATAAACTTCCTGTGAATAAAAGTTTTAACTGTGTACTAAGATTCTGTAAAACATTTGCAAACATTTAATTTCAACAAAACATGCATTGAAACAATTCTGGAGTAAGATCAAGGAGATTTAAGAAGACTGACAAAGAATCAAGTATAATTGCTTTCACTCTACTTGAACTCAACTGTAAGTAACTGTGTCTTTTAGAACTCTCAATTTCCAAGAAGGCGAGCAAAGGAGAAAACATAAATTCAGTAATGTAATAATGTAAGCTATGAAGAGAAAAAGATTATGAGACCAGATGTCAAATAAGGAAAACTTAAAAACACTGTGAAATAAAGTTTAGAAAACAGAACTAGAAAGTCCTTGGCAGACATGCTAGAAAACTACCACTTGTTTGTATGTATTATACATGAAAAGATATTTCATTAAGCACAGACTTAGAAATATACTGGTACTATGACATATCTTACTTAAATAAACACACATTGTAAGTTAAAGCATTCAAAATTGGAACAATAAGAATTACTTAATCAATATTCACATCAATTAGGGTCCAAAATAAAATCTGGTTATGCTGAATTTAAAGTTACAAAATTAGCAGTTTTATTTATACTTTGGTATTTGGTAAGGTAAATATTTAAATTTAAAAAGAAATTCTTTCAAGTCATCTAAAGTTTTTGGTGGAAACATAACATGATAGAACTTTGGTTACCATTTAAATTTGAAGTACTTCATCCATAACGATGACCAAAGTGGGTTTAGCAGCTATCATTACATTCCTTTAAATTTTCAAAGTGCTTTTGAGTCCTTCTAAGATGAATGTTCTCTCTTGCTTTTCAGGCCTTAACTTATTTTCTGACGATAGCAATGTTTACTGAAAGAGAAAAAAAAGAAATAGAATTAAAATGCAGATTAACCTAGTTTAAATATTAGATATTTTTCTTTCCTTTGGGACAGTCTTAATTTTGCCCTCAAACAACAATTGTAACTAGTCTTAGTCATTTAAGAAGTAACTTCCTTACTGAGCAGTGCACAGGAATAGAACATCGTACACTCAATAACCTGTAAGAACCAACTAGTATTGGTACGCAAGAGACTTGTGCTAAGGCTTCATTTGACTGTGCTTGTACCCTTTACTGGGTTAGAAGTATAAGAACACTAACTAAATGAAAAATACTAAACTCTATTTAATGTTTATAAAACTCTAAATCTAAAAGTCACAATGTCCAACTTTGACACAGCCAAGTAAAGTAAGAAATAGTGTTAACTCCAAATGTAAAAATTTCTCTAGTCACTTTCAGATTAACTTTATTTTTACTTATTTTTTAAAAGATTTATTTGTTGGGCCCTCCCTGGTGGTGCAGTGGGTTAAAGCACAGCACTAAGAAACTAAAGCCACTTTCGCGCCTGCCCGAAGGTGACCACATGGTGCGGCAGACCTCTCCTGAGCAGCCTGCTGCTCCCCTCAGCAGTGTACTTCCTGGATCTGCCTGTTCTGCTCCCCGCTCTATCTGTGGTGAATACTCTCACCCTCCGCATCTCTGGCCTGTACCCCAGTTCTGTATGAATGAATAAATAAATCTTAAAAAAAAAAAGATTTATTTGTTTATGCATATAAGAACTGGGTATAGGCCAGAGGTGTGGGGGGTGAGAGAACTCACCAGAAACAGTGGAGAACAAAACAGACAGACTGACTGAAATACACTGCTGAGCAAATAGTTCTACAGAACACATATTAGACTTAATTCATTTATTAATCTTTCTATTCACATACAGATTATAAAGTTGGGGTCTACTAGATGAGTGTTCTCAGTAGAGAGAAATCACAAGGAAGGCAAGATAATCCTTCTTAAAGAGCTTATATTGTAGTACAAAAAGACAAATAAGAAAATTCATTCCAGATGGTGATAAATACCTTGAGGAAAATAAAACTGGATGTTAAAGAGAAATTAGGAAGGTAGAGGTGCCATGTTAGACAAATACATCAAGAAGACCTCCTGAGGAAATGATCCAATTGATACATAGTGAAATGAGCCGGACATGTAAAGATTTAGGAGAACATTCCAGTGACAGAGCATACATGTCTTGAGTACTACACCCCTCAAAAAACAGAAAACTAATCTGAATCTATGTTTATTATTCCTATGTAATGACAACAATGAAATAACAATTACTTAACATTTTTAACTTTTTATTAACTATGCAAATTTTCTTCGAATGCTGACTTTTCAGTACTTCAAAGCCTCAAAGTCAGAACTGATCCTTATTTTTATCCTGTGTTTGATAACAAATATTCTTCTTTCTGCATATAAAAAGAAATAAGTTGTCTACATGTTTTGTTCTTTTTTTTTTTTTTCCTTCCTGACAGCTATACTAACGTATTGGGAAGCAGGCACAAGAAGGTATTTACTGAGTATCTGCAGCTATGTTACTAGTCACTCACTAGCATGACAAAAGTATCTACCTAAACCCAAGTCCTCTATTCCAAAACTTTCATGGCACTGGATTCTGCCCTTTACCAAAGAAAAACTTAATTATTTTTAAAAGATTTATTTATTTATACATACAGAACTGGGATACAGTCCCTATCATTCTTATTTTCCTTTGTTAAGTCAACATTTAGATAAACTTGTACTATAAGGATACTTTTTTTTTAAAGATTTTTTATTTATTTAAGCAAACAGAACTTGGGTACAGGCCAGAGGTACAGGGGTGGTGAGAGGATTCATCAGAGACAGTGTGCGGAGCAGAACAGGCAGCCTGATGAAGCACACTGCTAAGGGGATTAGTGGGCGAGACAGGAGAGGTCTACTGTGCCTTGTGGGTCACCTCCCTGGCTGGGGATTGGCTGTAGCTAGCTGTGTAGTGATGTGCTTTAACTTACTGTGCTACCAGGGAGGGCCCAAAATTACGTATTTTAAAGGATAATATGTTATCAAACATGAACTACATAATCATTTTTCTGAAGCATGGTTTGAATTAGATTTATGAATACAACACCAAACAAGATCACAGAGTGTCTCTTAATATTGCTACAGATATTAGAAAACTAATTCTGAGCAATCTAAGAGTTTGACCAATATGCCAAACTACATAAGTTAAAATAAAAAGAATACACTTTAGAATACATTTTGTGCTCTAACTGGCTAATGGGGCTATGTCAAGATATTATAGAAGCAAAGATAGTGAAGAAAAATAGGATGTAGTCTCAAATTTGTGAACAAGGCAGAAAATTCCCTATCTAGCAAGTGTGGACACTGAAGGCAAAAATAATATAAAGTTGAGAAACCTTTTTGTTAATAAGTACAGCAAGGCAAATTAATAATAACTAAGTTCAGGACCCATCATATGTCCTAATTTGGGGACCTTAATAAAACAGGTATATCTGAAACAAAATAGGAAAGAATTTAATCGTGCAATAATTATAAGGATAAAAGGTGCCATGAGGAAATAAAATTAATTAGATCTAAGTTCCATTTTTCCCACTGGCTAAGAAATCTCTGTTATAAACTTTAACATTATAAAAATCTCTCAAAAATTTATAGAATCACTATTGTTCCATCCTGTTTACTTTGATGTTTAGTTTACTAGTAGGGAACAGTAGTGCAAATAAAATATCAAAACTTAGAATTAAAAACAAAAACAAAAACAAAAACACAACAGTCCAAGAGATAACCTATACTTCACATGGGGATGTTTTAACCATAGAGAGTACAAATTGTCAAACATTGATACATAGGTAAAATCTATCCAGCTACCTGTTTATGTATGGGCTACAAGGCAAAAACAGTTTCTATATTTTTAAACAATTGGGAAAATAGATTAAAAAAAACAGTATTTTGAAACATAACAAAATTTAAACTTTTCTGTGTTTAAATAAATTTTTTAAGAACATACTCTGCTCATTTTTTTAGAAGATTTGTTTATGCATACAGAACTGAGGTACAGGCCAGAGGTTCTGGGGTAGTGAGAGGATTCACCAGACACAGAGTGGGGACCAGAACAGGCCAACTGATGAAGTACACTGCTGAGGGGAGCAGCAGGCAGGTCAGGAGAGGTCTGCCGCGCCATGTCTCCTCTGGGGCAGATGGGGATCGAACTCATGCGGAAGTGACTTTAGCATCTTAGTGCTGTGCTTTAGCCCACTGCACCACCAGGGAGGGCCCCTGCTCATTTTTTAGTTTGTTTATAGAATGACTATCCCATAATAGAGAGCATTTTTATATACTCAAAAGATCCATTTTCTTGATTTGTGAAATTTATTAGCCTTAACAAACGTTCTTTGACATCACTTTATGCTTTAAAATTTGCAGTGTATATTTGGAAGTAAAAAATAATAGTTTGTGTAGTCAATCATTTATACTATGAAAAAGTGAATCAAGGGTTAAATGTTAGGCAAAAATTAACTGCTTTCAAGCTTAAGAATTCTGAAAAGGTATTAGCACTATAACTCACTCTAGAATGACTCAACTTCTGTTTCTGGCCATGAAAGTATAAAGAATAAGACCCCCACTGCAAACAACTGGAAGCATAAAACACAGAAAAGGACTATGTTCACATAGTCACATAGTCAAAGAACGGTAACACTCAAGAAAGAGAAACAAGCAAGGAGAGTCCCACCATCACTACACCTCTAAGTCAGGAAGTAAATTACCACTCCAAAACTGCTATAGCCAGCCCTCAAAATAGTCTAAGGGATCTTGTTGACTTGAGATGAAGAAAAACGTGCAAGGAAGTCAGGAAGCCAAAGTGCCTAAAATTTTCTGGCAGAATTTCAAACAAAAGGGAATGAGTTCTAGTAATTTAAACGAGGATACCCTCAGTTAAATAAAAACTTATATATGATAAAGGTAAATTTTCTTGAGACTGGCCAAGCAGAACTACTTTGGAAAGAAAGTCACCAAAGAGTTGTAAGACAAAAAAATCTCAGAGCTGTCATAGGGCTAAGAATTCAACAATTTCTTTCAACCAGAAGAGAAAAACCTTATTGACTATGCAAGGCAATCAATAATGACCCCATTTAGCTATATCACATAAGGGAAAGCTGTCTTAGAATAAAAGCTAAATAAAGGAACTTCAAAGACTAGGAAAGAACAAACTAATAAGCAGTTGTGAACAGCTTAAGAAAAAAGTTCAACACTCTTTAAGGTTATACCTCAAAATCAATGAATCAATAACAAAAAGATATTTGGGTATTCCCAAACATTTAAGAAATATTAAATAAGAAACAAGACACTTACAAACAAACAAACAAAAAAAAAACAACAAACAAAAACAAAAAAAACTTAAGGGCCAAATAAGAAATTATGAGGGGAATTAGAAATGAGTAAAAATGAAAATCCAATCTACCAAGATTTTTGAGATACAGATAAAACAAACAGATATTTAAAGTAATGTATCATTTTCTGTATTTGTGGGAAAGAACGGAAAGACCTAACTAAAATCTATCATCAAATTCCTACAAAAAACAGCTAGGGGGAAAAGTAATGAACGAAACCAAAATAAGCAAACAACAAACAATAGAAATAAAATATACAACTGGAAAATAGAGTAAGATAAATGAAACTAAAAGTATATTCTGAAAAAAGAATGTATTGGGGGCAAACAGGGGCAGTGTGAAAATACAGGGCTCATCTCCATATACTTGCAGCTAGACTGCAGCAGACAAAGTCAGTAAGTCTTGAAGGAAAAACAGAATTACAGCACATGCTTGTAATAATTTCCAGAGCAAGGGAACTCCGATAAGTAGTGGGCTGTGCAAAGCAGATAAGTTATCCAGGCAGGTAAGGTGAGCTCTGGGAGGGCCTTGTGGGCAGCTGAATCTAACTGGCAAGGCCCTGACAAAGTAACAGCTGGCAGACCTCAGCAGTCCCA